CGGGGGCGCGGGGGGGGGCGTGGCCAGAGGAAGGCGCTCGCGGCTCGGACTTCAGGAGTGCGATTAACGAAGAATAGAGGCGTGGCTCTGGCGTCGCGGGGCGTGGCCATGAACTCACGGCCGGGACCGAAGGGTGAGGTAAGCGGTGGGGGCGTGGTCGGACAATAGGGGCGTGGCCAGGTCCCGCTGTGCCCATCCAACGCCCCAGGTGTCGGTCTCCCGCTCGAGGCCAGAACTGTTTGGATTTAACTGTCAGTGGACTGCTGCAGTCTGGCGGTCCGGGGACCCGGCCGTGTCCTAGCATAAGGTCGGGGCCCAGGAGAAGGGGCGGGGAGTAGGACAAGGTAAGGCCCCGGAGAAGTAGGGGATGGGAGTAGAAGAAAAGGTGAATGGGGGAAATGGGCGTGGTGTGGGGAGTTGCCTGGCAGGGGACAGAGCCTCTGGGCACCGGGCAGGAAGAGGAGGAGGGTCACTGGGGGCGGAGCATTGATGGGGGCTGGGCTCTGACCCCCACCCGTGCCGCAGCCACCCCGCCCCGCTATGTGGCACCCTCTGGTCCTGCTGCTGCTGCCCCCTGCCCTGGCGCCCCCCTCCGCCGCAGCCCCTGTCCGCGATGCTGACGCCCAGCACAGCTCCTCGGATTTTCTAGGCCTCCAGAGCCTGCTCCAAAGCTTCAGTCGACTTTTTCTGAAAGTAAGTGGTTGTGGTGGAGGTGGAAAGTGGTACAGAGAATGGCTTCAGGATGATTGTGAGAGGCAGGCCGGGTCCAGGCAGGGGGACAGCAAGAGAGAGTCCGGGATGGAGAGACAGGGCAACAGGAAGATCAAGAGATAAGAAGGGGGGAGACAGGCCAGGAGGGAGGGAGACGGGGCAGAGATGAGAGACTGGGGAGAGACAGAGACAGGTGAGGGGCAGGAATAGCAAGGCAACAGGACAAAACAGAGACAGGGCAAATGAGGGACGGCAGATGCTTAGGCCCTAAGGGTCAGAGGACAGAGAGGGCAGGGAACAGAAGGGACCCAAGGCAAGGTGGGGGAGCTGTGGGGGGAATCAGGAGGTCCAGCAGCTCCCAACCCTCTCCTGCCCCAGGATGACCTGCTACCGGGCTTGGACAGCTTCTTCTCTGCCCCCATGGACTTCCGGGGCTTCCCCAGGAACTACCACCAAGAGGAGAATCGGGAGCGCAAGCTGGGGAACAGCACCCTCTCCAGCCACCTCCAGATAGACAAGGTGCCTGCCCCAGGCCAGACGCCCCTCCTGGGGTCTCCCCACCACCCCTGATGCTGCAGAATCTGTGCAGAGGGGAGGAGGGCAGAGGAGGAAGGTGGAGGGGAAAGCAGGTTTGCTCTCCCTGTCTCACCCTTTACCCACAGGTGACTGACAACAAAACCGGAGAGGTGCTCATCTCAGAGAAAGTGGTGGCGGCCATCCAGCCAGCAGAGGGCAGACCGGAGGAAGGCTGGAAGGTTAGGATGTGCCCCCGCCGGCGGCCAGGCTCTGTTATTTTCTGTAGCTCTGGAGAAGAGGAGTCATCCCCCCCACACACACACACATTCCTTCTGTGTGGAACTTATTCTTTCTGGGCCTCAGTTTGTTTTTATTTCCGTTCTGTTTTTAGATTTTTGCCATAGGGCGTTGAACTCCCTGGAAAGAGACAGAGTGAGAGAGATAAAGAAGATGGAATGTGAAAGCTCACCCCCCAAGAGGGATGGCTGTGCTACAATCCCTTCTTCATTCTTCTCTCAGGATTTCATATGTGCACCCAGGGTGATTTACAAGACCCCAGGTCCAAGACTCAAACCATAGGGGGTACAGTTTAACCTCCACACCACCTGCTGGCCCTGCAAAATACTTTTTGTTTAAAGAATTGGTTTTTTATTTTTATTTGTTCATTCACTTATTTTAATTTGACCAGAGAGAGAAAGAGGGAGAGAGAGAAAGTGAGAAAGCAAGCCACCAGGTCCAAGACTCAAACTGTGGTTGGCCAGGTGGGAGGGTCCAGCACCTCAACCACCAGTCTACCTGCTGGTCCCTTAACTTTTACTTTTTAAGAATTATTTATTGCGGACCAGCAGTTAGCGTAATGGCTATGTCACTGGACTCCCATGTAGTCAACCACTGTTCGAGTCCCGGACCCAGTGACTTAAACTCATGCCGGGCATATGTGCGTGCGTGCCCAAGATCCCAAGAGGAGAATGGAGGAGAAGAGACTGCAGCGTGGCCATCCTCCCTGTGGGGTTATCTCTCACTTTCTGTCTCTCTTGCAAGCGCATGTTCCCCACAAAAAAAAAAAAAAAAAAAACTCTCAAAAAAAAATCATTTATAGGACCAGCACTTGACATAATGGCTATGTCGATGAACTCCCATGTAGTCAACTGTGGTTTGAGTCCCAGACCTGGTGGTGTAAACTCACACTGAGTGTATGTGCATTCGTGCCCAAGATCCTGAGAGGAGAATGGAGGAGAAGGGATTGCAGCATGGCCATCCCCTCTAGGGGGTGATTTCTCACTTTCTATCTCTCTGTCTCTCTCTGCCTTTCTGGTGAGCACACGTTCCCTATAGCAAAAACCTCTCCAAAAAAAAAAAAAAAGATTAATTTATTATTATTATTATTATTATTACTATTATTAAGCTTGATCAGAGAGATGCAAAGAGTGAGACAACAAGCCACCAGATCCAGGATTCAAACCACGGTTGGCCATGTAGTAGTCCAGCACCTGCGCCACCACACCACCTACTGGCCCCCATCAAAGTATTTTTTTTTTTAAGAATTACTTTTCTGAGGCCAGAAGGTGGCATAGTGGTTAACCACAAGGTTCAAGTCCCAAACCTGGTGGCTTGCTTTCTTACTTTCTCTCTCTCTGCCCCTCTCTGGTCAAATTTAAATAAATAAATAAAATTTAAATGAAAAATACTTTAAAAAAATAAATAAATAAAACAGCCTCAGCAGATTGAAAACCACACTGGATGGGCCAGCCTGGGGCATGGTGGCTGAGAGGTCCGGATCCCACATGGCTGATGGCAGAGTTCAAGCCCAGGACCCAGCAGCTTGAGAAAAATGGGCATGTGTACCTGCTCGCCCAAAACCCCTACGGGAGAAATGGAGAAGAGATTGTGATGTGGCCATCCCCCGGGGGTGGGGGTGTTGCTTTCTCACTCTTTCTTTCTCCCATCAGGACACAAGCCCTCTAGCAAATTTAAAAGAAAACAAAACCAAAAAACCTGAGCAAGTGTGTGCACACACACTGTCAGGATCTCGGAGGAAGGAGGCCTGAGGAAAGGGGATTGCAGCATGAGCCCACCCCACTGGGGGCCACTCTCTCCTCTCTCTCTCTCTCTATCTGGTGCACGCTCACACACACACCCTCTGGCATTAAAAAAAAAAAATCCCAAAGTGGTTTCCACATACACATACAGTTTTTTTTTTTTTAAGTTTATTTATTTATATTCTTTCTTTTTTTTGTTTTTGTTTGTTTTTTCATTTTTGCTACAAGAGAGTATGGGAACCTACCAGAGAGAGACAGAGAGAGAGGGAAAGGCGAAAGCACCCCCTGCCATGGGCTATGGTCTCACCCCACTCTCTTCTCCTCCATCTCGCCCTCCTTTCGGGATTTTGGGCGTACACACACATGTGACTGGCATGCTGATCAAGCCACCAGGTCTGGGATTTCAACTGTGTGGTCGGCCCCGTGGGAACCAGCTCCCTCAACCACCAGGCCACGGAGCAGTTCCTACTTATTTTCTCCATGAGTGGGAGAGCCACACAGAAAGAGAGCAGCAGAGACAGACAGCACCCAGCAGGGTCCTAACACCCACAACCTACCCACACCCTCAACCTGCCCCAGGTCCCGGGCACCCACATACCTGGCATACTCAGGGAGGTCTCCAGACTCCAACCCAGAACCTCCCAGTGTGGGTCAGCCTTGAAGAGCATCGCATTTCACCACCACACCACCATCCAGCCCCCAGTTTTTTATTTTAAAAATTCCAAACCTACAGAAAAGGTTAAACTAGTACATTGAATATGCCTGTGTCCATTTTCCCACAAGCCAAAGTTTCTCAGCCTCGGTGCCATTGCTATTAAAGCAGAGGGGGCCATATTACTTTGCTAGGGTTGCTGAAACCAAAACCACAGACGGGTCGGGGGGGGAGTAAGTGGCTTAGTGGTTACATCGCTGGACTCCCACAGGGCCAACCACAGTTCGAGTTCCAGACCCGGTGACTTGAAAATCATGCCGGGCACGTGTGCGAGCATACCCAAGATTTTGAAAGGAAAACGGAGGAGAAGGGATTGTGACATGGCCACCCCCCGTGGGGGGTGATTTCTCACTTTCCCTGTCACTGTCTCTCTCTGTCCAACAAGTGCATGCATCCTACGCTCAAACAAATTTTTAAAAGAAAGAAATCAAACAATCCAGTTGTTTTTTTTCTTGGTGCTGCCTCACAGTGCGTCAAGGCGCCGAGAGAACCTGGCCCACACTCGCGGGCACCCCGGTGTGCGGGCCCTTCCCAGCATCCCTTGGCCGTGGACACATCGCCTTGAACTCCGCCATCACCGCACTTCTGTGACCGAGGACCCCGGCACAGTGAATCAGGGCCCAACCAAATTAACTCATCAACGACCCTATTGCCAATAAGGTCTCATTCTGAGAGAGGGGTTAGAGTTCAAACTATGAACCCTAATAATAATAATAATATCCTACAAGGCATCTGAGACCACGACTTGGTTTTTTTTTTTTTTTTTTTTTGGAGAGTCTTTTGCTATAGGGCACGTGTGCTCTCCAGAAAGACAGAGAGAGACAGAGAGACAGAAAGCGAGAAATCATCCCCAGGAGGGGGGATGACCATACCGCAATCTCTTTTCCTCCATTCTCCTTTCAGGATCTTGGGCATGCACGCACATGCGCGTCCTGCGTGACTTTAAGCCACCAGGTCCAGGACTCGAACTGCGGTCTACTACATGGTAGTTCAGCGACATAGCCATTATGCCATCTGCTGGTCCCGCCCTCTGACAATTTTTTTTTAACTTTATTTTAATTTGACCAGAGAGGGACAGAGTGAGAGCGAGAGCAGGAGAGAAAGGGAAAGCGAGAAAGCAAGCTGCCAAATCTGACACTCGAACCACAGTGGGCCATGTGGGAGTCCAGCGCCCTTAACCACCATGTCACCTGCCAGCCCCCCTCTGACAATTATTTAAAAAAAAAAAAAGAAGCCGATTTTATTTTTGATCCAGGATTTAGGATTCAATCAAGAATCATACATTGCATTTGTGGTCCTGATTCTTCAGTAAACCCAGAGCTTTTCATCTCAGTGCTCTGTCCAGTTCACTCTGCTCCGAGCCTCAGTGTGTAATCCTAAAGCTCTGTAATCCGCTGGCCTCATAAACCCCGAAGTGCTCTGTTAGAGCTCCCTTTTGAAAACCCCAAAATGGATTTTCAATCCGAGCGTATTCTGCAAACCTCAGAACTTACTTAATCCAAAAGCACTTGTGAGCTCAACTGCTCCGTGAACCCCGACGAGGGCATTTAACCCCAGAAGGGCCCTGTCTCCTGCAAAGTGGGTTGAATATGCCAACGGGATCGGGGCATCCTGGGCCACTGTTTGGGGTGTCAGTGGGTCTCCTTGTTCCTTCTCCCCAGGTTCCCAAGATGGACGAGAAGGAAGCCTTGGTGCCCATCCACAAGGCCATGGACAGCTTGCGCCCAGAGCCCCGCCCACGGGTGGCCTTCTGGATCATGAAACTGCCCCTGCGCAGGTCCCGCCAGGATGCCCAGGAGGGCAGCCGCTGGCTCGGCGAGAAGCAACACCGCCTTCAAGCCATCCGGGACGGGCTCCGCGAGGGGAGCCGCGGGGATGTCCTTGAAGAGGGGACCCCGGGCTTGCCCCGCTCCCGGCTGCCCCGCCGCAAGACCCACTTCCTGTACATCCTTCGGCCCTCTCAGCAGCTCTAGGGGACGGGCGCACCTGCACGTACCCCGCAGACCCCTCCCAGTGCCTTATGGAAATAAAGTTGTTTTCTTACATCTACATTGCTGAGAGAGCCCAGATCTGCCCACGGGCCCCTGTGGTCAGGTCACGGCGGGTCCCACAGCCCTGGTCCCTGAGCGTGACATCAGGCTGCACTGGTTTTCTTTCTTTCTTTCTTTCTTTCTTTCTTTCTTTCTTTCTTCGGGTCCCACAGCCCTGGTCCCTGAGCGTGACATCAGGCTGCACTGGTTTTCTTTCTTTCTTTCTTTCTTTCTTTCTTTCTTTCTTTCTTTCTTTCTTTCTTTCTTTCTTTCTTTCTTTTTTTTTTTTTTTTGGAGAGGCTTTTTTGTTGTGTTGTTATAGGCAGGTGTGCTGTCCAGAAAGACAAGAGAGAGAGAAAGCAAGAAATCAACCCCCAGGGGGATGGCCACGCCACAATCCCTTCTCCTCCATTCTCCTCTCGGGATCTTGGGCACGCATGCACACGCGCCCAGCGTGAGTTTAAGCCACCTGGTCTGGGACGTGAACCACGGTGGACTACATGGAAGTCTAGTGATGTAGCCATTACACCAGCTGCTGGTCCCTTGCACTGGTTCTTAAGTCTCCAGGCTCAGTTTTCTCAGGTAGACACTGTCTTCTGACTCATGCTTCTGTCACCTCCAGCTCCAGCCATCCATTCAGTCCCCAACCCAGTCACCTGCAGCCCTGTCCGCCCTCCCAGCCCCCAACTCTTCCACTCTGGCCCCATCTGCTTGGCCTCTATACAAGTTTCCCACCATAGCCGGAACCGCTGACCACAGACGCGGTGACAGAGACTGGCAAAGGTGCCCTCACAGCACTGCAGGTCAGAATCCAGGGTGGCTCAGCCCACCCTCTGCCGCCCAAGGCAAGGTACCAGCTTGCTGGGCTCTTACTGGGAGGCTCACGGGACTGGATCAGGCCCAGCTGGACAACGCAGTCATGGTTCCAGAAATGAGAGGGGTCATCTTTGGGGGACCATCCTGCCTGCACCATCTCCAGTCCCAGCTCTGTTAGCATCCACACCTACCTATATTCTCCCCTCCCTCCCACCCTCTCTTTTTAATTTACTTCTTAGATGTGATCTTGTTACATGCAGACCCTGCTACCTCAGCCTCCCAAGTCACTGCAACCGCAGGTGCATGGCCAAGCCTGGCTCCTTCAGATCAGGTCTCACTGTTACCCACCCTGGCCAGCAGCTCAAGATCCTTCTGCTTTTAAACCAGCAGATGGTGTGGTGATTAAGGTGCTGGACTCCCACACGGCCGACTGCGGTTCAAGTCCTAGACCCGGCAGCTTGCTTTCTCACTCCCCTCCCTGCCCCCTCGTCTCTGGTGAGCTTGTGTGCCCTGTGGCAAATTTTAAAATTATGATATAGGGACAAGCAGATAGCGTAATGGCTATGTCGCTGGACTCCCACGTAGTCGACCGCGGTTTGTGTCCCGGACCCGGTGGCTTAAACTCACACCGGGTGCGTGTGCGTGCGTGCCCAAGATCCCGAGAGGAGAATGGAGGAGAAGGGATTGTGGCATGGCCATCCCCCCTGGGGGGTGATTTCTCGCTTTCTGTCTCTCTGTCTCTGTCTGTCTGGCGAGCGCACGCGCCCTATAGCAAAAGCCTCTCCAAAAAAAAAAAAAGATATAATTTAAATATTTAAAAAGTTTTTAAAATTTTAAATTTTTTAAAAAGTCCTCTTGCCTCAGGGACCAGCAGGTGGTGTAGTGGTTAAGGTGCTGGACACACCCACATGGCCGACTACGGTTCGAGTCCCAGACCTGGTGGCTTGCTTTCTCACTTCCATACTCTCTCTCTCTAGTCAAGTTAATGAATGAATAAATAAAATTAAATATATTTTTTAGAAAGCCCTCTCGCCTCAACCTCCTGCAGAGCTGAGACTATAGGACTGCATTGCTGTGCCAGCTTCTAAGGTGGGTTGGGGCTCGGACTTGGGCCTCCTGTGTGACCTCAGCCTGCCGAGCAGCAGTGTCCCCTAGCACACGTTGCTGTGGCTGGACCAGCTCTGTCTTTTTTCTTCTTTTTAAGCCGGAGGGCATGCTCATGAGAGAGACAAAGGCAGCACCCCGCGGGGTCTAGGCACATCACAATCCTTTTCTGTCCAGTTATCCCAGGTGGATATAGCTGTGTTCACTGTGCCACTGCCCAGCCCTCCAAATTCTATTATAATGATTTATTCAATTTTATTTATTCATTCATTTATTTTAATTTGACCAGAGAGAGAGCCAGAGAGAAGAGAGAGAGAGGAAAAGTGAGAAAGCAAGCCACCAGGTCTGGGACTCAAACCGTGGTTGGCTATGTGGGAGTGTCCAGTGCCTTAACCACCACGCCACCTGCTGGCCCTTACCCTCCAAATTTTTTGGTTTTTGTTTAGGTTTTTGCCATAGAGCGCATGTGCTCACCAGAGAGACAGAGACAGAGAGGGAAAGTAAGAAATCACCCCCGAGGGGATGGCAACACTACAATTCCTTCTCCTCCATTCTCCTCCTGGGATTCTGGACACACGTGCACATGTACCCAGCATGTTTCAAGCCACCAGGTCTGGGACTCATACCATGGTCAACCTTGTAGGAGTCCAGCGTTTGACCACTATGCCACCTGCTGGACCCTCCCCCCAATATATTCTTTTAAGAATTATTTATTATTATTTAATTTAACCAAAGAGAAAAAGAGAGCAAGAGAAAGGGAAAGTGAGAAAGCCAGCCACCGGATCCGGGACTTGAACCGTGCCTGGCCATGTGGGAGTCCAGCGCCTTAACCACCACGCCACCTGCTGACCGCCCCCCCCCAAGTTTTTTGAAATAGTGATTTCACCACAGGAGACCATAGCCATGTTTTTTAAAGGTGATTTTATTCATGAGAGAGAGGAAGAGAGAGAGGAAGAGAGAGAGGAAGAGAGAGAGAGAGAAGCAGCCTAGAGAGGAGAAAGGGCCTTGTCACTTTGTGGCTGCTTTCCCCAGCCCTCCTGCTCAGCAGGATCCTGGCCACGTGCCCTCATGCCCGATTTGCTTAGGGGCCCGCCCAGGGAGCCAAGCCCATGGTCCACCATGTGGCTTCTGTCACTGCAATTCAGCTGGCTACCGACTGTGTCACTGGGGTGGACCAAAAATCTAAATTTTTTTTCAAAAGGTCACTTTTATTGATGCCAGGCCATTGTTGGGTTCCGAAGTGTGTGAGTCTGTGGGGTGACCCCACCCTGAGCCTGAGCTTCGAGGGAGATAGTGCATATGCACGTGCTGGGTGTGTTCTTCAAGCTTCCAGGACCAGGACTCAAACCCTGGTCAGCCATGTGGGATCTGGCTCTCTCTGCACAGCATTTAACCACTGGGCCAAGGGGCTGGTCCTCTCACCTTATCTTCTCATTCCCTGACTCTCATCTCACATAGTACCCTGACTCCCTCTCTGCCCTGTTCGTCTGTCTGACTGTCCTCCACGCCCGTCACCTCTTAGACTCCACGTCTACTGTGCCTCATGCCCGGCCAAACGTGGAAGCTCACAGAACTCGTCTTGGGTGGACTGCACACTTCGTCCCTCCCCAGTGTGTTCCTTACTCTCTCTGAGACTCCTCCCTCTGGGCCCACCGCGGAGGAGGCAGATACGGTCCTTTCTAGTGCCCGGTTCCTAGGAACCCAGACGCTGCGTCTGTCCCACGGGGCTCCTACCCCACCATCGCCACAGCTCAGACCCATCGCAGCACCTTCCAGCCAGCAGTTCCACCCTGAGAGCCCCAAGGCCCGCTCGGTTACCCGGCGCTGATGCTCCCTCGTGTTTTCTTTCTTTCTTTTTTTAATTATTATTTTTTTCCCCAGAGGGTGCGAGCTATTTGTCAGAGAGAGACAGAGACAGAGAGAAAGGAAAGTAGAAAAACCACTCCAAGGAGCGTGGTCATACTGCAGTAACTTCCCTTCCATTTCTCCATCCCACGGGGACTTGACACGCGCACACACATGCACCCGACATGCTTTCAAGCAGCTGGGCTGGGACTCCAATCACACTCAGCCATGTGGGATCCGGCTCTCTTAACCCCTTGGTCAACCACGGGGCTGGCCTATTTCCCTGAATTTTATTTATTTTTTTTTGAGAGAGATTTTTGCCTTAGGGTATATCACTCTTGGGAGAGACAGAGATAGTGAGAGGGGAAAGTGAGAAATCACACCCTGGGGGGATGTCCACGCCTCAATCCCTTCTCCATTTTCCTCCTGGGATCTTGGGCACACACACACATGTGCCTGTCATGATTTTCAAGTCACCAAAGCCAGGACTAGAACCGCGGTTGGCCATGTGGGAGTCCAGTGATGTAACCACTACTCCATCTGCTGGCCACCTGATTTTTATGTTTAATTTTGCCAGAGGATACATGCACTCACCAGAGAGAGAGACTATACCCCCCAGGGGAATGGTCATGCCTCAATCCCTTCTTCTCCATTTTCCCTCCTTTTGGGATTTAGGTACACAGGCACATGCATCTGTCATGTTTCTCAAGCCGCTGGGTCTGGAATTCCAACCACACAGCCCAGGCAGCTATGGGCTGGCCCTTTCTTGATGTTCTGATTGGGAAGAAAAAGTGTTCATAAAGGCTATGTCGCTGGACTCCCACGAAGTCGACCGCGGTTTGCATCCCGGACCCGGTGGCTTAAACTCACGCCGGGCGCATGTGCGTGCATGCCCAGGATCCCGAGAGGAGAATGGAGGAGAAGGGATTGCGGCGTGGCCATCCCCCCGGGGGGGTGATTTCTTGCTTTCTGTCTCTCTGTCTCTCTCTGTCTATCTGGCGAGCGCATGTGCCCTATAGCGAAAAACCTTTCCAAAAAAAAAAAAATTTATTGAACCACCCCCCCCGCCCAATATGACCAGACACTAAAGGTCACACTATGATGAGATAAATGCCCAGCTTGATGGGGCTGAGTAGAGGACACAGACAGAAAATACACACGGAGGGATGGAACTGCTGTGAAGATGAAGCAGCTCGCTGCTCTGGCGCACAGTAAGTACTGATCCGCCGAGCTGGGAGCCAC